GCAGTGACTGCGGCATGGCTGGCCGGAGCGACGAGGCGACCGGAGGGAGCTGTTGGCCCAGAAGCGGACCCCGGGGGTGGATGCCCCATTCCAGCCTGGCAGCTCAGCCAAGTCTCCGAGCGGTGGAGGGCACAGAGAAGCACCCAGCAACGTCGGAGGAGTAGCTTGTGGGGACTTAGCTTCTCAGGAGACCTGCAGACCCCGGCGTGGTCCATCTGCATCCATGGCTCCATCCCAGAGGAAGCTGCCTCCTGGTGGGATTTGGAAGGTCCCACAGGGAGGGAGGGGTGAAAGTCTAACCAGTTCCACCATTTGCTTCCTTCTCCAGGATTATATCTTCTACCTGGAGCCGGACAAGCTGGAGTCGGGCAAGGGGAAGTGTTCCTACGACCCCAAAGTAGACACCGTCTCTGCGTTAATAAGTAAGTCCTATAGTTCCCAGCTAAAGGGGCCGGCGCTGCCTGCGTTGGGCAGAGGGAACATGCGGGCAGGATGGTGCAACTGCTCCCACCACCTTCCCACATTACCCAGATATCCTCTGGAGTCAGGTTCCTGCCCCTGCCACCCCCGCCTGCTCCAAGCTGTGGATGGTGGGGCAGCCGGCATGCCCAGTCCTTGGGCACCCGGCCCAGCAGAGCTGGGGCTCCCAGTTACAGACAAGTGCCAACCTCCCAGGCTCTCTGGGATGGCCACAGGCGGTGGCTTGTGGTTGCCTGGCGGTTACCGGCCGGGGATGGAGCTTGGGGCAGTGGGAGAAGGTGGGTGGGTGGGACTGGGTGGGGGTTCTTGGCTGATCTCTGCCTTCTGCAGATGAAGAGCTCTACGCTGGCGTCTACATCGACTTCATGGGCACGGACGCGGCCATCTTCCGCACCATGGGCAAGCAGACTGCCATGAGGACAGACCAGTACAACTCACGCTGGCTCAACGGTGAGTCTGGGTGTCCTTGGCCTGGGTGGATGCAAGGATGGAGCGAGGGACGGACTGATGGATGGATGGATGGATGGATGGATGGATGGATGGATGGATGGATGGATGGATGGATGGATGGATGGATGGATGGATGGATGGATGGATGGATGGATGGATGGATGGATGGATGGATGGATGGATGGATGGAAGGAAATCTAGGCAGAAGAGCTGTGTGGGACATGGTGACAGACATGCTGGGGGCTTTGCCGGGCCGCAGGAGCAGCCAGCTGGTGAGAGACTCAGGCTCTGTTGGAGTCTGCATGGGTTTCTGCAGGGCTGAGATATCAACCATGTCGCCTGCGATCGGTGACCCTGAGCACTCATCCTGTCCCCCTCGGAGCACCCCTGCCCATGGGGCGGCAGCTGAGTAAACAGAGCCGAGCAGATGGGCGCGGGGGAGCCGGCGGGGCGGTAACCCGAAGAGGGGAAGCTGTCAGCGCAGGCTGGGCACCGGCTGATGGATGGCAGGGAGAAGCTTCCTGAGAAACTTCCAGGCTGTGTGGTTCCTCCCCAGGGGGGGAAGACCAGTTCCCACTGCCCTGCTCATGGAGCTGCTGGAGCCCTCCGTGCTGTGGACATCAGGGATGCTCCAGGAGACCTCAGGGATGCTCTGAGCCCCTCTTGGAGCACCGATGACTGCCACTGACACCCCATTTCAGCCCACCTCTGCAGTTCTGGTCCAGATCCAGCTCTCTCCCTGTGACCACAGCAGTGCTTTTCCAGGAGCGGGGCGATGCTGGAGGAGCTGGGGACTCAGCATCCCGCTGCAGCACGGGACAGGGGTGCTGCTGGGCTGACGGTGCCATGCCGTGCCATTCCAGACCCGGCGTTCGTCCGTGCCCAGCTCATCCCCGACAGCAGCGAGAGGAATGACGACAAGCTCTACTTCTTCTTCCGAGAGAAGTCGGCGGATGCCCCGCTGAGCCCTGGGGTCTACTCCCGCATCGGGCGCATCTGCCTGGTAGGTGGGGCAGCGGGCGGGCAGGAGAGCAGGCAGGGGGCAGGCGGGCTCAGTGTGGGGGTCCCTCCATTGCAGAACGATGACGGGGGCCACTGCTGCCTGGTGAACAAGTGGAGCACCTTCCTGAAGGCCCGGCTTGTCTGCTCCGTGCCGGGGCCCGACGGGATTGAGACACCATTCCACGAGCTCCGTGAGTGGGCAGGGGGGGGGGGGGGGGCGTTATGCACGGGCTTGGGGGATACTCTGGGGAGGGCTGGGGACTCCCTTTTTGACCTCCACCTCTTACCCGTCCCACGTGGAGCTGCTCTCCTCCCTGCCTCGGCATCCCTGGGCATGAGGGGCGTCCCACCTCCCCCATGGTGACACCCCCATCCTTCTGTCCCAAGAGGACGTCTTCATCCAGCAGACGCAGGACACCAAGAACCCTGTTATCTACGCTGTGTTCTCCGCTTCGGGGTGAGTGAAGCATGGAGCAGCGGGGAGGGGGTCCCGATGATGCTGCGGTGGCGG